AATGGACCGGAGCCTCCTGCCTGAGGGGAGCAGGTCAAACAGACTGTGTCCAGGGTGAGAAGGGTCAGCTGAGATCTGAGCTGCACGCCGCAGTGTCCTGGAGTTATGTTTGACACCCTTGGTTTAAGACCAATAGTGAGGCCACTCCTTAATGCAACCCCTGACGGTTAAATTTAACATCAATAAATGAACCATAGTGTAAATCAAATTTGCTTATAATGGCTCTAGAATTGAGTAAAGAGTTGTTGTGATTCATGTAACGTCAAGCACCGACTCAAAACCATCTTGAATCTGACTTTAATTTAGCTGCTCCGTGATTTAAATTTTACATCAATAATTCAGTTATCATTGAAAATTCACCAGGATCAGGATGTGAGAGATACATCTGGCCTTTCAGCTGATCACTGAAGCCTCATCAATGGTCAGTGAAAGGGTGGCTGTCAAGAAATTATTTTTAAGGTAGAGAAAAGGCTGAGGTATGGAAATTACTGGGGAAAAAAACCCTGTTTTCTGATGAGCTGATTAATCCAAATTTGACATTTTTGTCAAAGTCTGGAGGAGGCCAGGAGAGAAGTACGATTATACAAACTCTGGTTTGTGCTTTATATACTACACTTTTCCAACTAAATATACAGAAGTGAGTTGTGGCCGAAGATGTTTAGACAGTACCAGGATCTATTGCTCATCGCCCGTTTTGTGCACATTAATAGCGGTGCAATTGTTTTAAATAAACTATAATTCCCAACAAACAGGAACAGTTCCTGCTAAAGATTAAAGCGTACCTGTATACACTGGTTGCTTTGTGCACCACCTGCCATGTCCATTTTTGCTTGTTGTTACAGTGCTGGTAATTGCTGCAGTATTCTCCTGAACGAGTAATAAAAACAAAAACAAATGCACGGTTATTACGTGTACCATAAAAGCACTATTGAGTTAATTATCTTAAAACAATACAAATCTTTACATCATCACGGCTGGAGATCAAACATTGAGCGATCTCCTGCAATAAACAGTCAGACTCATATATAATCTGACACAATCACAACTGTTCAAAGCATGCACATTGAAAAAGCATGACTATTGTGCTTCTACTGAAGCACTGTAGTGTGATGAGATTGCTTAAAGTTGTAAGTTTTGACATGTGTTAAATAACACAAATGTAAAAAAATGTTTATTGTTAGTAAAGAAGAAACAGGGACAGTTGACAGCAACGCTGTGGTTCTCCTTCGTTTACATACCAATGCTCACTATCTGTTTACAGTGTCATGTAGCACAATTACATTTTAATTCGGTGGAAAATAAAAAACGGCTCATCACATATGAACATTTGGTTGGATTGCCTTTGGTTTATAGTATTTTAGGGAAAATGGTGAGACCCCAGAAACAATGGAGATTAAACAGGGTGACCAACCATCCTCTTTTTTTTTTTGCACTTGTTGACTTGTAAAACCTATATGACAGTTTTTATTTCACCGTTCATTAACCACACAGAGAAGGCATAGTTTAAATATGTTAAAGTTTTCTTTAAGTAAACAGTTTTATTAAAGTTCTTCATGACTGGCACAAGTGTCCTCTTTTTTGGAAATCAAAATATGGCCACCCTAGGTTAAATAACCCAATTTTGCTTAAATTAAACCAAAGAAAATAAATAAAAATGTGGCGACCATGGCAGTGATGCAGTAGTTTGTGGTGACTTTAGCAGACAGATGAGCAGAGACGCCGACACCTGAAGAAATCACTTGGATGAGCGACGTTTCTCACACTGAAAATGCTACGAATCAACTTAGTGGACTTTCCTTTATTGGATAATTGAGCGCTCACAAGACCTGCTGCAAGAGCTGATGTCTCCCCTGCACCAGCAAGGCTTTCTTTGCTAATGTACTAAAGGAGATATTGAAAATGTTTCCACACTGCATGATGTTTAGCAAGAGGAAACTTATCTGTTACCAGGATGAATCCCAGAGGGCTTGATTACTCGCCAGTGCTCTGTCTCCACACAAAGCGCAGATGGTAACTGATCTCAGAGCAGTGGAACCTGAGCCAGCCAGCAGCAGCTTGTCTGATTTATCAACAATACACAACCAGAAACATTTGTCAGTCTCTCAGCTTGCCGACCCACATCCCCATGAAATTAACGGGTGCTACATATTTCAGTGGGGTTCAAGTCAAGCAGAGTCCAGCGTGCTTCTGCAGAGAACAGCCACTGAAGCCACAAGATAGCAGTAATTTAAAGGATGGATGCAAACAAGGGAAAATCGTATCGTAATGCTTGCTGGTCTCTCTCAGACGAGCTGGGGAGGTCTGACAACTCAAAGATTCAAAATTCACACCATCAATAATAATTATCAACAGTCTGGTCTTTGACATGGAAAATGCTATTTTGTTGCAGTATTGTGGACGATCATGGCAGAAAAATTGTCGGTACAGATGAACCCTATTCCACTCTTAATATGTCTGTGGCTCCTTAAGCTCCATAAAAAGTCCCAGTTTGGTATATTTCTTGGCTAATAATATGCTATACATTACAGCTTACATGAAAAGCACACTTCAAATAACCCTCCTCAATCTCAGACAGACAGGATCTTGAGATATAAAAAGAAAGAAAACCACTGCTCTATAGCACCACTAGTGGTCAAAAGCATATACAACGGCCTTTAAACTCATCTCCTTTAGCTGAACACAACTTCCCCCTATAAACATTAAGAAATACTCCATTTTATACATAAAGTTGTTTTTTTAACAAATAAAGATCAAATACAGAACAACAAATCTTTTTAATTAAATATTAAAAATGAACAATAAGGAGCTACTTAGCACTGCTCTAAGGCAGCGGTCCCCAACCTTTTTTGCGCCACGGACCGGTTTATGCCCGACAATATTTTCACGGACCGGCCTTTAAGGTGTCGCGGATAAATTCAACAAAATAAAACTAGTACCGGTACTGAAAAAAAGAAGATTATTCATAACACACGTGAAAAGACCCAGGAAACAGAGTGAACGATAAAAACAATAACAAAATAACGCTGAAAACCGATAAAAACCCTGAAAACCATACATTTCACACCTGAGCCTCAACTCTCGCGGCCCGGTACCAAACGACTCACGTGTCCGAGGCCCGGGGGTTGGGGACCGCTGCTCTAAGGCAAACAGTAGTAACTTACAAAGCAGTCATAAATCAAAGCAATTTAAAGACTAAAAACTAAAAAACACTTGTTGGACAAAGTTGCAAATTTCACACACCTACTGTCTCTGCTACAATAGAAGCATCAATGCAAAAAAAACAAAAAACCTTAAAAATATCAGACAAGATAAATACAAATTTTGGGAAAACATTATTTTGACAAATTTCCTTTAAAAGCCATAAAAAGTGCTATTGGTCACATTCTCCAAATAAGAGATTGCTGCAATGACTAAACTCATTTTGAGTGTGATATAAAAACACAACAACTTAATTATTTGGTTAAAAATATTAGATGGATTTTTTTTCCTGAAAAATCTAAAAAAATCCCCAAAAACCCAGAAACATCAATTCTATTAAATTCTCTCAGGAAAGGTCAGTGAGGAGAAAGTGATGGAGAGTAGAGTCATCCACACCATTCTCTGCATGTCCCTGCAGTCTTTTGGTTCAGACAGTCCTTCAGTCCTGGTCTTGTTTCGGTTTAATTGACAGGCACCCCGAACATCCACCGAGTCCCTTCTCCTTTGTGTTGTAGTCAAAGTGAGGCAGAACAAGAACGCTGCCATCTGGATCGCCCTTACAGGCGCCACTGGTGGCTTCAGCCAGCGCTCTCTCCTCTTCCACAGACATGATGCTTTTCACCAAGCATGTGATGGCAGCGTCGATGTTGGTGTTGTCCTGGGGAGAGAAAGAGAGAGAGATAGGATGAAGCTGAAGGGTTGAAGAAGGTCGATGGAGGTAGAAATAGAGAAATGTCTTAACAGTAAAATCCACCATATTGTCCATTTAAGTATTTAAGGGTTGTCTTAAGGAGCTTAATCAATAAACTTGGACGAATGACTAAAACTCGTCTTGTTTGGATTTAAAAGAGCTCTGGGTAATGACCCAAAGAAAGAGATAATGGACACAAGCAGCAGGAACAAGCTTTCTCTGAAGGGTGGCTGGGCTCAGCTTATTGATAGAGTTAGGAACTTGGTCATTTCATTTTGGTCAAAGGGAGCCTGCTAAGTGAGCCACTTCCTGTATGTCCTGGGGTAGACTTAGGACACACTGGTGTCCTAGGTCTACTCCGGGACCGGCTTGGGAATGGCTCAGTGCTTTGTCTCTAAGAGCTGGAGGAGGTGGCTGAGGACAGGGAGGTTTGGGCATCTCTGCGCACATGTCTGCAGAGTCCAGAACAGCTGGAAAAGGGTGCATTTTCAATAGAATAGTGACCTATTGGGAACCACAGCTTCAACTTCATTTTGTCCTTAATTTGCTTTGCATGATTTACAGTTGCCTTGGTGCAGCAAAGATTATCTAACAAGGAAGAGACACATTAGCAGTCACAAAGAAAACACAGATATACTTCCTGCAGACCCGAACAACAACAACAACAACAACAACAAATAACAATGATGTACAATAGAGAACGTGTTCGTCTATGCCATCACCACGTGGCTTCTTTTTTTTAAACGCAGCTTTCTTGAGTTCGAGAGATACCGCTTACCCAGTACGTTCTCTGTTCACAACTTTCCCTCTAACAGTACAAAATCCTACAACTACCATAACAAACACTATTGTGGATTAAATCAGTCTAAACAAAATCATGTGATTGCTTTAACAAGTTGCCACACTGTTCCTCTTATGCCAACTCATTTTGTTATTATTTATTACCAATTTGCTTTTTTTGAGTTTGTATTGCAGCCCTTTAGCAGCAATTCCTATTTTCTTGTGCGTGTTGTGAACCGTAGGGGGATGAAATATTTCTGTATGCTCATTCATTTAATGGCAATAAAGATTTTCTCGTTCTAATCATTTAACTCCTTTCTCTTTCAGACCACCGTCTCTTTAAGGCAACTTTTTTCTGATTGGGTGCCCACTGGAAACAAAGGGTTTGAACAGCAGGGGGTGGAGCTTATGTGTGCCTGTGATGACCATATTAGGCATTTCAGCTATTGCTGACGTTGAGTAAAAGAGTAAACAAACATTAAAATGGAGCATTCACGGTTGTCTGAATCCTGAGCTTTTGGCACGTACACTGAAACTTCATTACCTGAAACTTTGATAATCTTTAATGGGAGCAGCTACAGCTGAACATCTATATTAATCATTTTTCCATCGTAAAGGTGAAATATTTCAAATATTAACGTCTTTAAATAACTGATCAAATATTCTTTTTGTCTACAACATCTACTAAAAAAGGAAACTCACTAAAGTCTACTAGAGCGCTCCTCATTTCCTGAGGTGATGTGTGTGTGTGTCTCAACTTGTTTCTGTTATGTAACGGGTAAAAAGAGGACATGAGGCTTTGAAGGTTCTGTAAGGCGAAGAATGAAAAGCTGTGCTTCCAGCCTTCCACCTTTAATTTAAATAAATTGGATCAACAGATGAGCCACAGTAAGCGCTGTGTTCTCACTTTTTTTTCCTTTTAAGATTTAACTGAATTCCAAGTTTTTCTGTTGGTACTTTTAGCCGATATGAACTAATTGAATTCTGCGAGTTGGCAGCTACGAGAGCCAGCTGTGACTGAATCTTGAAAACTTATATAACTGGATATTATATGAACATGGCATTCACTATAACCTGATGTAATTAACTTCTTTTCTTCTAACAGCCTAGAAGAAGACATGCTTTATTTTTGTAAAGGGCCAGTATGTAAATGAGACGGTGCTGAACACACTGTTTTCAACCCTGTACTCTGGGTGTCATGACCCCAGGTCAGACTGTGGGCTTTTGAAGCTTTAGGGTTGAATTGTTTCTTTGGTTGATAGATAATTTTTTAATCCCAATTGTTCAATTGTTACAGCAGCACATGCGTATTAAGCTTAATATTTTCTAGAGTATTTTAGTATTTTGTTTTTTCTTAATTAATTAAATATATTCCTCAGTTTTATTCATTCTGTATGTTTCCTGGATAACACAGCGAAGTTCTTCTAATTGTCGGTGGTTCTCCGTTTAGTTACAGTTCTCACTTCCTGTTTTATATTAATAGTTGTTTAGTTTTACTTCCCCTTCTGTCTCATTGTCTTAGATTACTGTCACCTGCCTCTTGTCACCCTTGCGAATACATAACAGTCTTCCTCTCAGTCTTTGTTTCAGCGTTTGTTAGCTTCCTCTATGCGCATTTTCCACTAAGTTTTGGATCGTGTTTGTGTTTCTGGTGGACTTTTCTGGTGGAAATTCAACAATGCAAAATAAAGCTTTACCTAAAACCAACCTCCATTTGGGTTCCAAACACTCATTTGATTCATGACACCAGGGCTAAGAAAAAATGAAGCCATCGCAGGCATGCTACATGCTGCAGTTCCTCTAGTGGCCACTTGAGGCTGCCTCTAAAAGCGAGTCGGTCCCCATTGACTCCCATGGTAAAATGCACATGTGTGCAGCAGAAATAAACATTTTTACAGCCTTACATTACTAGCTGCCTACAACATTTTTTTAAATTTCTCATTCAGTATTTATTGGTCAAAAAACAAAATTTTCCCCTGGATACAAACTTTGGTGACCGTTAAGTTACAGATGGGGACATACGCTGATCGTGACATGTGAAACAAACGCAAACAGAGAACGTGACATCAGATTTATCAAGTGATGAATATGGAAATCTGAAGAATTGGGATATAAGAAAACATTTTTTTCCTTTCTTTTTAAAAAAAACTTGATCATAATCATCAGAATGATAATGAGAATAATAACTGTATATGTGATGATAATCATACAAAGTTTTGTTAAATGGGGTGTTAAATGCTGACAGGAAGACAGAAACAGAAAATAATCTCATCTTGCCTTGGCAGAGGTTTCATACCAGTCGACAAATCCGTACTCTTTGGAGAAGTTCTCCAGTTTGGGCAGCTTGGGGCACAAACCATGACGCCGCTGGTCACATTTGTTGGCCAACAGAACAGCTGGAACTGGCCTCCCATTGCTGAGGGCAACCTAATGAATCCCAGAGGAAGATGGAAAAAGAAATGCAATGAAAATTTACAAAAATAATTCATGATGAAGCAACAAAGACCTGTCGAAACTTCCAGTAGATGAGCCTCAATTTGAAGTGCTTCACTGTAATCTGCAGTTTGTGAAGGGATACAGCAGCATCAAGTGATGACATCTGTCTGTTATGTTATGCCTATTTTTTTTTATCTATATTGATATCAGAGAGGCATCAGGCTTGTAATACAGTGATTAAAAAAATAAATACTGATTTGGCTATCTATTACATAGTTGATAGGCAGAGGGCACTGAGAGTAAGATGACAATGTAAAAGGGATTGCTTGCAGGGATGGGCCTCTGTCTGCAGCCCCTGCTGAGCATTACAGTTTCAGCTCAATGTTTCAATGTTAAGCTGCAATGTATGCAAATGTGCTTTTTGTCAATCTTATAGCCCTCAAAGCATAATTTGTATCTGTTCAGAAGAAGCTGTAAGCCTCACCGAAGATCTTTGAACATAGTTAGCATCAAGCTGGTGAAACACTGTAAGTAATAAAGGAGACATTTCTCACAAAGAAACACACATATACACACACTATATATAGCCTTGACTTGTGGTCTTTGTTTTATACTTGTTTTTCTTCTCCTTAATGTCTTTATTGAGGTCTCTTCTTTTTCAGTGAAAAGTATTTTAAAAATAAGATTAAAAAAAGAAATACACCTCCAAATATAACTCTTTAACTGCTGGATGTGTAGAAGAAAACAAAACAACTTCACTTTTGTGTATAGTACTTCTAATGCTTTGAAGTGGCAAATGAAATCAGTCAGTCAGTCAGCTGTCTGTCATTTGATACTAAGCTGACAGTAAGCTGGTCATTTGAGGACTGCTTCCTCATGACCAAACTGGAAAATAGCCCAGATTAGCAAACAGGGATTCTGGGGATTAGGGGAAATCAAGAAAAAACTAAACAAAAAATTTCACACACAAAAATGTACAAAAGTTTATTTCCCATTATTTTTAGATCTTGAATACATATATTATCAAAACATATATATCGTAACAAAATGATATGTGTAGAATACAACGGTCTTTATCCCACCTGCTGCTTTCTCCCTGACATTGGTGAGTCACAAACTAGGCTAGCTATCCTGAATACAGTACTTCCAAAATGAATTAAACAAGGAAAAGTGAGGTAAAAAAAAACAAAAACAAACAAAAAACACAAAACAAAACCTCCACCACCAACAACAGGAAAACAGAAAAGGGGATGCACAACTATTGAGAAACCACTTTTTTTTTTTTTTGGCTAAATCAGGATGAAAACACAACATTTAACTTTAAGCAGTGGCTTTCCACCAACGCAAATAAGGCAGGCAATTGTTCAGTAAAATATAAAAATAGACATCAATTAAAGCCAAAGTAAAGTGACCACTCTTCTATCTCAGACAGTGCTCTGTCATAAAGCTTCTCCTGTTGCTTGTTTGCATCTATCGTTTAAATTGTTGACATCTTGTTGGCACAGTTGACCACAGTCTCTGGAAGCAGGCTCAACTCTGCTTGGCTTAGGTTCCACTGAAATATGCAGTGCATCAGTTTTACAGGCATAGGTATCCTGCCAACAATGGCTAGAGGTTTTCAAGCTGCGAGACAAAGCACATGCATACTGTGGAGAAATGTTGGTCTTTCACTTTGACCTGATGTGCTGCCTCTAACTCTGCTTTCACTGCTTTGAGATCAGTTACAATCTGCAAATTGAAATAGAGCCAAGACTAGCAAGTAAACAAGCGTCTGTGATTTATCATCTTAAGTTAAAAGAAAAACATGAAAAAAACTTTTTTCTTATTTATTTTTCATATAATATAAGCTTCTAGTGAAGCTATAAGGTGCCTTTTTTTAAGTAAGGGCTCTCCAGTGTGCATGATTGTGCACATTCCTGTATCACATGTTTAATTATTAGAGAAAGCAGAAACAAAGCCTAGTGACTTGATCTGGGCTTGTCCGTTTAACCTGTTGAGCATGAGCCCCCAAACAAACCATTAGTTATGCTAGACTCTGGTTAATAAACTACATTAAGATTATGTACAACCCAAATTCCAAAAAGTAGAGATGCTGTGTAAAAAGATTTGCTTATTGTGAATCCGGTGGCAGCAACATGTCTCGAAAAAGTTGGGATGTGTGCAGCAAAAGACTAGAAAGAAAGAGCTGAAGGAAAATTTTGCAGCTAATTAGGTTTGCTGCCAACAGGTTGGTCACATGATTGAGTAGAAAAAAGAGGCAGAGTTTTTCAGAAGTAAATATGAGCAGAGGTTCATGGGCTTTTCTTTGTTTTGCTGTTGTTTTTATTAACATTTTAAAATGTTCCAACTTTTTCAGAAAGTCTGATTTACTTCAATCCTACAACAATATTAGATTTTTCACCCTGATTCATGCAAATTTATTTGCCTCAGCCCCAAGTTTGTAGATTTTTATTCAGAGCAAAGAAATACATTTCTTACAACTTTTTAAACTGCACTCATTTCCTCCTTCACAAAATCCTTGTGGTGGGGCGTGGCTTGCTGTGCCATGCAGGGAGGGCAGACGCACCTGCGTGGCATCCGCAAACATGCCCGCTGACTACAACAAGTGCAAGTGGTGGTGCATTATGGTGTGATGCATCTGCGGCTGACAGCCGAGAGCTGCAGCCGCGGTCAATAAAGATGGCTCAAAACTATGACCTGTGGACTCAACGTGCCTTATTCCCACTAGGGCTGCCACGATTAGTCGATTAGTCACGATTACGACTAATTTAATAGTCGACACGTCGTTTGAAGCTTTGTAAGATCCCAAAAGATGCAGGGATACGTAGAAGGATTTAAGAATGTAATAATGGACTGAAACAGAAGATGGCAGCACTGCATGTCCAGGGATGCCCGCTGCCATTAAACCCCAAAGAAGAAGAAGCAGTGTCCGGTTTCATAGCTGTGTCCAAATTTAGCGGCCGCATCCTTCGGAGGCCGCATTTGTAGGCCAATTACGTTACAGCAACACGGCGAAGCATGCCCAAATTCGAAGACTCCCCCAAACACGGCCCAAAAATGCGTCCTTCATTTCTCCAGTTATGAAGGATGGGTCGGGTGTATGCTTCGTGGCCCAACCTATCCCAGAATTCATAGCGCGGCCAAGTCAATTCCAGATTCCAACAATGGCGGCAGCTAGTTAGTTTTAATATATATATATATTTTTATAAATATTAAACTTTATTAAGAAACAGTATACAGAACATGTATACAACCAGAACAAAATTAACATATGCCAGGGGGTGTAATACAAAGAATTACAAACATTCAAATAATTTGTAATTACTACAAATAGTAATAGTTTTCATAGCCTTTTTGTTAAGTGATCCACTAATCAATTTTATGTAACATAAAACATCATTATAGTAATGTTTAAAATTAGGTTTTTTGTTACTGTATTTGAATTTGTGAAAATAAAATTTAGCTAAGATAACTAACAAGTTTAGTTAGTTTTAATATTACTCTTATAGGGCTTTGGAGCGTGATGTCACGGGGGTGGGCGTGGAAAGGATTTTGGCCTGATGCGCCATTTTCCCGGTCCAAACAAAGCGCAAGCGACAAAGGAGCGAAAGCCCACACAACAGCCATGGTTCGTACTTGCTGTGTGGTCCGCTGCAATGTTCGATCGCACAACCAGCAAGAGAATAAGCTTAAAAAGGGTTTGTCTTTTTATTCTTTCCCAACCTGGAAGCAACATGAGGCAGCTCATATAGCGGACCTTACCAAACGAAGGCATCTAGCCTGGATAGCAGCCGTGAGACGAGCTGGTATCCAGTTCGCTTCCATGTCCAGATATCACTTAACTTACCGGACAATTTCATTCCGGTAAGTTCTATATATGTTCATATCACTCTCTATAGCTTAATAATATGATCGTTGGTGGTCTCGGAGGTTATAGAAATTGCGAACAAACATCGAATGGAGTGACTTTGCAGACATACGTGCTATGTAACGATTTGCTAATTCTTTCTCACAACTTTTGGGAAGCCTGCCTATGAAATGGCTGTAATATCTTGCCCGATTATCAATGTGGTAGTTTGCATCAACTTTACAATTATGGGCACATAATATGACAACGAGATTTTAGCAGTTCATTGATAAATGTATAACATCAACTGTGGTAGGGGGTGAACCATGGCCATTACACTCGATGCACTCCAGCGATTTGTAATTACAAAACTGGTTCGCAGTGTAAGCGCTTACTCCACAAACAAGATATGTGAAGATATCGGGGTAGGACAGTGGCGGTAAGTCGTCTGGGTCTTTATTCCACTGCCGTATTTCATATGGGTCCACATTTGCGATGCACTTTATTTTTTTTCAAGTACCGCTGCTTCGCCTCTGGACGTAACAGGTCTCTATACCATCCGTTTTCTTTTGAGCTGCTTTTAAGCATGTTTCTTGTCGTCGTTGTTCCAACACAGTGTGTTTGTTTTGATTTATGGACCCGGAAAATGGCGCCGCGCTCCCACAATACATTGCGACGTGACGTCAACTCCTAAGCCCTATTATTCTTTCTGCTTCACAAAATAAACTTTTAACATATTTTCAGGCGAGAATGTAGCTGTGCAAACTTCAAATATCTGCTCGGTTTATCAAGACACCACATATTTGCAAAAGCGCTCTGACGTTTTCGGAGCCGTCTGTTACCCACCAGCTCGACAGCTAGAGGGTTCAAGGGTCACTAGAGCCGGTGAGAACACCGGACTCCCGGCACATCATTTTCAACCCCCCCGCGGTGTTTCGCTACTCAGGTTGAACATGATATGCACTCAGATAATTTAAAAATGTTATTGTTTGGCTTTTTTTAGTGTTTTATTTGTTCCTGAGTAAATTGGTTTGGCTGAGATTAAAGTTATAGTTTTACACAGCTGAATAAATGTCAAACAGAGAACTGATTAAACAGAAGTGTGAGATGGGAGAGAATTTACTCCAGTGTCCTGTTATACTTCACATGGAAAGAACAGACGGCTGAGTTTATTAAACTCCACCGAGCCAATCTGCAAATTTCGTTAAACTTTAATAAACTATCATCTTGTCTTTATTTTTAGTTAGCACATACCTTAAACACTTCAAGCTGTAAGCTAATGATAGTTATATAAGAGCAGATGCTGCTGGTGCAATAAGCTGTACGTTTTACGTCCAATAGATGATGATCTGATTAGTCGACTAATCGCAAAAATAATCGGTGACTAGTCGACTATCAAAATAATCGTTTGTGGCAGCCCTAATTCTCACCACACTCCTCTTCTCAATTCTCCACCTCCTTCATCTCTGATTTTTTACCTTTGAGTCCAGGTCTCCTTTCCATTTAAGGATGGCCTGAAACGTGGACAGCCGGGTCATGTCGAAGACGACGAGCGCACCCACGGCCTCTCTGTAGTACACACGGGTCATGTTGCCATATCGTTCCTGCCCTTTTTAAAGAAAACAGAAGACAAACCCAGGCCAATGTTAATTTACAGAAGAGACTTTTTAAAACAAAAAATTAAAGCAGAAAAATTGAAAAAAAGGAGAGAAGAACAGGAGCAACGGTGAACAGACAACGCTGCTTCTGTAAGAAAGCATACAGCGCCAAAAAAGACAAAGCAGAGGGAGGTACATAAACAAATATACAATTTTGCTATGTGTTCGCAGCATATGATAGGATATGAGTGACTGTGTGTTTGCCACAGACCATACTTGAAAAATGAGTTTGAGAGATCGCAATGTTACAGACGCAGACCTAGCAGAGAGGTAGAAAGTGAGTAAAACTAGAGGGGAGAAATGTGACACGAGCCAGAGACCGTGTTTATCAATGCTTATCCCTAAAAGCCTCGGTCTCTAAGTTTTACGTAAAATTGAAAGGCAGTCTGCGCTGCCACGCAGCCCCGCCTACCTACCTCTGGTAGTGCTCCTGCCTCCAAAGATCCTACATGTACGGTGATGTGTGGTGAGATGTGACTATGGTGTCATTAAAAAGGGAGAAACAGATGACCGCACACCACACCCAGCAAAGCCACTTGAATGGTCCAACCCGTCCTATTTGTGTGAGTGATGTGTTGTCAGAGGAAGCGGGGGAAGGAGAGGACTAGGCCTGGAGGAGAGAGCCAGCAAAGCACCCCCCATTTCGAGGAGGCGAGGAACAGCAGATCCAGGAACCATGTTGACTGGAACCCCACACAGAAGGCCAGCGCCCGTCTCCCCCACTGCAAAGAGTAGTCCAGCTGGATTTCTCAAAGCCCAGCACGAGCACCTCACTCAACCAACAATGAAGACAAAAAAGCACAACAGACCAGCCAGAGTCTGACATATGCCACAGCACCAAGCCATCTAAAGTGATGATAGCTTGGGTGATCACATCAGTTTCTGAAGGTCACACCATTAATACCAAAACTGGTCACTTTTCATAATAATTACTAACATCTTTGCCAGTATCAAACATTTAGCCCTAGTTTCCCAGCACAATAAGACACTTTTTTTTTGTATACAGGAACTGCATATGTTCTTCTCACTGCTGACACACACTTGTTAAAAAAATGTTGCAAATGAGAGAAGCATGTGTGTGAACATTTAAGTCTCTATCCTGGAAACTAACTTGCTCCACATGATCCCAATATACCGGTGAATCAGCAGTGGAGCATCTGACACACACAGACACACAACCCTGCGCGTGCGCCCAAACACTGAGCACACAAACTGTCTCCTAAAAGCAGATGGTACCTTTCCCTTTTTTTCTGCACACCATCTGATCAGTACTAATAGTATGAGGTCAAAGGTCAACACCACCAATGACCAATGTTTTCAGAATTTAAAATAAGCAAGTCCGGCAATCTAAAAACCAGGAGACCGTGTTCACTCAAAGGTAAATGTACACATGATCGTTATTTTTTTTGTATATAACAGTTTATGTAAATAGACCAGAACATGTGTAATATCCTTTTGTTTTTTTGTTGCTGTGCTCCTACGAGACTGACATCGCTCTTGCATCCTATGTGTATAATGCGACAGGCAGAGCCAACACCACGTGAGAGCTCCATCCAACAGGCAGCTCATACACCCCTCTGCATTTAATCAGCGTTATCATTAATATCTAAATCTCTTCCACAGCGTGTCTTTTCCCCGTCTTCCCCCTCACCCCCAGCAGATGGCCGCCGGTCCCTGAGTCTGGTTCTGCTGGACATTTCTTCTTGTTAAGAGGGAGTTTTCCTTTCCTTCTGTTGCCAAAATGCTAGATCATGGGGGTGTCATCTGATTGTTGGCTCCTATGGATTGGAACCAGCATGGAAAGCAAACATGACAACTAAAAACAAAACAAAGACAACAACAATAATAAAATCTGTCTATCACACACAACGCCTACTATGTTAAAGTAATAAACACCATGTTTTTTTTGTGGGTGAGGGAAGTCGTGATGTCACCATATCAGAAACGAAAACGCAAAAAGAAGACATTATAACTTATAAAAAAATGACTATACAGAGAGAACATCTATGTAAAAGCACTCTGTGAAGGCTGACCTAAAAAGAACGTACACCAACTCACATTTTTTTATCTTGACATTTGTAACTATAAAACATTCAAATGGGAAAATGCAAAAACTTTGTGACTTGAAAACGCTCCTCGTGACCCTGAACAACCGGCTTCCCTACACTGAGAAAGGCTGTACGGTCACCACATCCACACCGTGAGGACAACATGCCGGCTGTTTGTGTGACTGCAGCAGCTTCATTGTCGTTTAGCAGCAAGTCGTGACCTGCCTCGCTGCTAAAGTCCACCTAGAAAACAGCCTCAGCCGGACCTTTTCATTTAAATGATAACTCTTATCAGCTGGCACGTCACTCAGCACACACAGCGTGTGTGTCTTTGTGTGTCTGTGTGTGTGAGAGGGAGACAGCAGTGAGACTGGAAAGAAAGGAGTTCCCAAAAAAATCGAATTACATGCAATTAAAGAGACACATGGGAGGGTTTTATAAGCTGAATACAGAGAGCTTGTTATGTGCCTCTGCAGGAATGATGGCTGACCACATTTTTTTTTCAAGGCCACTTCTCAAATTGTGCAACATAATTGTTAGATGCATCAGCAAAAAGCAGCTGAAGAGTGTGAAAATGCAGATTACTGCACGTTTGTTCTGGGGTTTACTGCTTACTTGCATTGAGCACAGTACAGATGCATTTGCTTAACTTTGAGCGAGTTTGTTTATATCTATCGTGGTACTTTTTTAAAGTATGCAGGAGCTACAAAGTACTTTCTAACAGATGCCTGACGCTGTCACATGTTGGCTTACTCTTGCAGCATCGGCATACGCCACAGCTCCAGGAGCAGCATACCACTGACCACTCTGTGATCTCCGAGCTTCTGGGAATTTACTCAACTTGACTTTAAGATTCTGTTACTTTTATGCTGCGTTATGCTTCTGATGTCAGAGGAAAGTGTCTCTAAATTCACAGGGGAAGTAAACACAGTTATCTCCCCCTCAGCCATCTACAACATGACATGTTGCAGAACCAGAAGTGAAACATGTAATTCACCTAATAAATGTGTTTGAGGGACTCGTTGAAGATATCTGTGCTTATTATGAATGGAAGACGTCTGCTTATAAAGAGTGCATCTTTGTACGGGAGTACGTTTTGACATTTGTGCCATTTTAAAAGAAAGTTTTCCACAAAGCAAGACAGTGCATGTGTCTTACACAGGAGTGGAGTCTGACTGCGTGATAATCATGCAGGACAAAAAAAAATACACACTGCAAGTTTGGAAATATTCTAAGATTATTGATTAAGTAACAAAACCCTTCTTCTTCTTCTGTTGTCACAATAGATAATCTGCATCCTCATCTATTACAATGATCCTCCTTCATCACATCCATGAAACTCCTCTGTGGCCCTCCTGCTTTGTCCAGTATATCCAGTGTGCCTCTCCTGCACATGTCCAAAACATCTTGGTCTTGTCTCTCTAACTGTGTCTCGGTCTTAAACACATTGTTTACAGTCTTGAACTTTCCTAAAGATGCTTTTTTCCCTAGAATTTACCCAGAACAGGTGCACGTATCCAGTGCAGTCCTATTAGACATCTTTAACCTGCCAGCTTCCTCACATCCACACGATGTGAGGAAGCTGGCAGGTTAAAAAAATCTGTGTACCAGACTCTTCTTGGGTGCGACGGCAGCAGCTAACGTCTTGTGTGTCCTGCCGTGTGCTGTGTTCAAGACACTCTACTGTAAGTAATCCTGACCCGACTGTCCCAAAATGACCCGCAAGCTTATGGATGAAGACGGCTGTACGTGACTATGACCCTCACACTGCTCTCTCTATCTCTATGTCATGTTTAGTCAGTGGTGGATGACGTGACGTGGTCAGTCCCTTTTCTTTCACTGCAGCAGTACGCCTTCAGATTCGTGGGCTCGTATTATTGGGTTACAAGTACTGATGCAGTTCTGAGTAAACATCAGTCTGCTGTTGCAGCTGGTGAAAGGGGAACTCGGCCTAGGTCATGATTTCAGTGCTATTTGTCTGCATGCCTGTGGAGCAACAGGTTCTTCGGAGGATCTGTAAAGGAAGTCCTTATGAAATGCGGGTCCTGTATACGTTGCACATTACTGGTTACATCTTTCTATAGTCGCTGTAGGTCGAGCAACGCTATATTACAGATAATGCATGCAGCCCAACTCTCTTATTACCTCCTTACTTGTTGTCCGTACTTGCACTGGTCTCTATTTCTTGTTCTAACTGCACTTTGTGTGCACCACGGACCCTGAGCTTCATATTTTCGTCTCTCTGTGTACTTGTATGTGGCTGAGTTGACAGTAGAGTTCACTTTGGCATTACTGAGATACAGCTTTGACCTTTGAGCCTCGATGGACGTTTGAAGCTTGCATAATTCTGAGGGACACAGAGTCCCCCCCCCCCTTTTTTTTTTTATAAACACAACGCCACAAGGTTGAGTTAACTTTTTATTGGTTTGCTGAGGTCATTAGGAGCCGATTTTCATGCAACTTTGTAGCAACATGGCGCATGCGCAAAGGAACAGCTCGATAAAATTTGGTGTGGATCTGACGTGTTTTGGAAAAATATCCAGATATTTACGTTGGGTTTGGTTTAGTGGAGAGTTGTCATCTGCATCTACTACTAAAAACCTTTCGTGATAGTGTTTCTTGAGTGGGTGAGTGAGTGAGCATTAACCTGTACAGCGGTGTGTCATTCCACCCACAAAACAATAACAGTATGGTTCACGTACCGGCGATGTCCCACAGCTGCAGCCTCACCACTGTTTTGTGGTCCCAGTTGAGCACTTTGAGTGCGAAGTCCACTCCGATGGTGGCCCGGTAATGCTGGGAGAACACCTGGTGGACGTAGCGCTTTATGATGGACGTTTTGCCAACTCCCAGGTCGCCGATCACCAAAACTTTGAGCAGGCGTTCGCGCTGCATGATTGCTGAAGACGCCGGTTACGAATTCCGCGTGAACGAGACGTGCAAAAACTGCGAAGAGTGTCACGCTTTTAAATAGTGGATTCTCGCATAAAAACAAACACCATCGAGAACTCCCCGAGAGCAACTTTGAAGCGCAACAAGGTTTTTAAAAACAGGTTTTCGCAAATAAATAAAACAGAACGCGCTATTAAAGTAGATCAGGCGCAAATGACAACAAGTGCGCATATCTTAATATTCATGTTAAAAGTTATAAATGAAAGCGAGGGTGCCCGAGAGCCGCAGATGCACAAGGGGAGGCGGCACAGGAGTGATCTCATGTAACAGTCCACAGCTGATGACTGCTGACCTCGATGACGTCCCGGGACGCTGGTGCTCACATCTCCGTGCCCGCTCTGTGTCCCGGCCAAACACCCACGAGCTGTTTCACAATTTAAACAGTGAAATGGAAAAGAAGAAGAAGAAGATCACGCTTTACGTAAAACTCTGATGAGATAAGGACGAGAAAAAACGAGGCGCTGTTATCTGATGAGTCTGCGGTCTGTGCGCGCTTCTGCAGCAGTTTGCTCTACTGCCACGACTTCAGAGAACAAACTGCGTTTCTGACAGCAGCTCACTGTCTTATAAAGTCACGCCCACATACTGCCAGTGTGTGTGTGTGTGTGTGTGTGTGCTTTCAAACGCACAGAGCGCATATTAAACGCTGTGATGTGCAGAGGATGGACACACAAACAGGAACAGCTCTGAGGCACTCTGACGCCTTCTTCGATCTAAGTTTAGTTTCCTCTGCTGTCATTGTACTCGCCCTATCTGTTGGTCTTTGCTCAGGGGAACTCAGTGGTTTTACATGAAGTGCTATTTACTTAAAATGACTCAGTAAACCAGCAGAAAATACAGCGAACAAGTTCACAAGGTGCAGGCAGTGTGTTAAAAGCTTGGTGGATGGGACAGTGCAAAAGTATGAGACGAGGAGTGAGCAGAGGGAACTTTCAGATCCAGGGCTGAGGGTTTTCATCAGCTTGACTTTGTTTTCTATGAGTAGGTTTGGCTTTAAGTCAGCAGAGGCGTTTGCGGCAGTCCGGGGTTACAGGTGCATCGTTCTCCTTTTTTAGTGTCGCTTCAGGCTGAATTCTTTTTGTGCTTGCAGATCACTTAGATCCTTTTTTGCACGGAAACATGTTTGAAATAAATAAATCCTCCAAGCCAAACACAAACCAGCGCGTTACTTAACATGCTGTGCTCCCTCTGCTGACTGGAGTCTACCATGGGACAGCAGCTCTGGGTTTCTGGGGGCTGATTGGGTGACTGGGCTGATTTGTCACACAGATTTGGGAAACACTTGCAGTATTTTCTGTGTTTAGCAGGTAGTTAGTTTAAGGATCCCAGATAACTGGAGGCTCAGCCTGTCTCAGGTTATTCTGCTTGATCACCGGTCAGCTGTGCCTCGGGTGGAAGAGCCGATCATCTAACAAGCAGAAGGTCAGCGGATCCCTGATGACTGATGGTCACATTGAAGAATTCTTGGGAAAGATACTGAACCCCGAGTTTCCCCTGAAGCATCAATCAGAGTTTGAGTGTGTGTGTGAATGTTGGATAAAGCCATGGATTAAAAACACTGTATGAATGGGACTTGCAGTAGAAATCACTTTGCACCCAACTGAGTAGAAAGGCAGTGTGTGAGTAACTATCCAGTCAGGCTGCGTCTCTCTACAGTCAGCAGGTGAGCTGTTGTTTACATCTCCTAGCCACGAGGACTCCCGTCTTCACAATCC